AAAATTCTAGTTTATCCTCACATTTTGATTCAGGTGTTTAGTCACTGTAGGAGTTTGTATAACCTTTTGTTTCTTAGATGAAGGGTGTGTGTGTTTCAATATGACCAGGTGTAACTGCTTAGCTATGCTTAACCATGTTTCACTATGTATCTACTGACTGTTAAGGTGTAGAAGGACAAAATTCCCAAGAAGACCAGTCCAGGTGCTTCCTGGAGCATAGGTAGTGGGAAGTCTTTCCTGCCCAGCAACAGTCGGGTGGGATGAAAAATAGTTGTAACTGAAAAGATGCAGGGTGTTGTGTGTGAGGGTATAAAAGAGACCTGTGACGTCTCAAGGACAAAGCTTTCATGATTGCAGAACTGTGATGTTTGATGTGTGTTTGCTCTCCTGCATGCAGTAAATAAAGAGGCTTGACCACAGCTGACCTTGTTGCAGACGTTATTAACAGAAAATTCCACCACAACATTCAAAGACATTCAAATTTCCATTTCCAGCAAAACTTTGCATATCCACTGGTTTAGTTGCTCATCTTTACTACTTCATTATCTGAATTAAAATAGAAGTCTTATTGTACACAATTATACTGAAATTTCAGAGCAGAGTCTTTGGAGCGACATGCAGTAATTTGCACAGTAAATATAAATCATAACATATATAAACACTGCTGAAAAGCATATGCAAGCCCATTCATATGTTTTGGCATTGTTTATGGATTCAGATTCTTTTTTGTGTGTTTTCTTTTTTTTCAACAGATTTTTCTAAATCTCTTTGTGCTTTGAGTCTCTGGCTCAGTTTTGAAGCATGCTTAGAGATTTGGGGTTGAATTAGCGGTTTGTATAATCACAATGTTTGTCCTTTAACATTTACAGTGCACTGCTTTCCTTTTACCTCTGGTTTTAATTTGTAAAACAAAATGCAAACTATGTTTTCCAATGTTGTAATAGTTTCAGATTTTACTTGCTGTATTACTGATTTCTTTCTTATTTTCTTACAGCTGGTGATCTTCAACATCAAGGTAAGTTTAATACTGTTTTCATTGTGAAACATAAACTGTAGGCTTGGTTTAGAGTTTATAGTTCATATAATTTCACAAATGAGTCATATATAAATTACATTCACTGACTTCTTCCAGATCCTGTTTTTGAAGCTGGTAAAACCTACGTGTACAAGTATGAGGCGCTGCTCCTGGCGGGCCTGTTAGAGAAAGGTTCAGCGAGAGCTGGACTAAATATCAGCAGCAAAGTTAGCATCAATGCTAACGACCAGAACACATATTTCATTAAGGTAAAGATCAAAATCCTGCACAAGCTGCAGTCATTTTACCTTTTACGTGTATACTAATTGAATTAAACCTTACTCTTATATGAAAGCTTGAGGAACCTGAGCTCCAGCAGTATAGTGGAATTTGGCCTGAGGATCCTTTTATCCCAGCAACTGAGCTGACTTCATCCCTCCAAGCTGAGCTCACGACTCCCATTAAGTTTGAGTATGTCAACGGTGCTGTGGGAAAAGTCTTCGCCCCTGAAACCGTCTCAACAACAGTGCTTAACATCTACAGAGGTATCCTGAATGTCTTTCAGCTCAACATCAAAAAGACACTAAATGTCTACGAGTTGCAGGAGGTTGGTGAAAGATCTTTATAAATCTGTGTGTGACAAGAAGTTGAATCTCCCTACTGAATATGTGTGCTGCTCTATAGGCTGGAACTCAGGGTGTGTGCAAGACACTTTACTCCATCACTGAGGACACAGAGGCTGAACGTGTCTATCTGAGAAAGACCAGAGATATGAGCCACTGTCAAGAAAGAATAACTAAAGACATGGGGTTAGCATACACAGAGAAATGTGGAAAGTGCCAGGGGGTAGGTTTTACACATTTTATATCAGGGAAACATCTGTGAAAGTGATGGGATGCATGACAAGCAACAGCTTTGTTCTTACAGGACACTAAAAACCTGAAAGGAGTTTCATCATACAGTTACATCATGAAACCACTCGATAATGGCATCCAGATCAAGGAGGCATCGGTCCATGAGCTGATCCAGTTCTCACCTTTCAGCGAGCAGCATGGAGCTGCCCATATGGAGACCAAGTGTGTCCATAACAACTGTGAATATAAAAATTGATTCAAAGAACATAAATGAACTTTTCTTTCCACATTTAAGGCAATCCTTGATGCTCCTTGAGGTTGGAACACCCCCTTATGCACCCACTACGCCACCACCCCTGGCTCCGTATTCACACCGTGGAAATCTCACATATCAATTCTCCACTGAGCTTCTTCAGTTACCCATTCTGCTCCTCAATATCAATGACACAGAGTCTCAGGTATTGTCATAATTAAGAG